AACTCCATTAGATGATAAATACATTCACAACATCCTCTCAATGTGATTATTTCTAACTCACATTGTGGGTTTTACCATTTTGATCCATTGTTGATTTCTCACACAATCTATCAAAATGGCAACATTAAAGTTTAACATTTTAGTGAACAACTTCATTCTTAACTATCTCTAACTTAAGAACAAAGATGGATGAAAACCTAGGTTAAGAGTTGGAAAACATTTTTCAATCATAAACCAACACAAAGAGTTAACATGAAAGCAAAGTTTTCACCATACATTCATCAACCAAGAGTTTACAAATGATGATCAATACATTTACATACAAAGCTTGATGATCACCTACATCTAACCTTGACAAAAAGAAGAACTTAACTACTCATTCTCATGGGTAGCTTGAACAAGAAGAAAAGGGAGAAGATGAAGAACATCCACTTTGAAGAATCGATGAAGGATGTGATTCCACTTCTCTTGATTACAAAAATGAGCAAAGAGAGAAAAACTACTCTATCTTGAGTTCTAGGTCTGAGTTTTTATGTTCCAAGATTATCCGCCCACATAGTACAAAGTATGACACTTATAAAGCAATAATAAAGTACAAAAAGTAGCTCTGTTTCCGCACGTTCGCCAGGCGAATATAAAGTAACAAGGCACTTCAAAGTGCCTCAGCAAGCAAACCGCCCTCTGTGATATCGCAGCTTCGCCAGGCGAAAGAATCATTCGCCAGGCAAACCTTCGCTGGTTCCACTCGCCAGGCGAACTTCATATTGGTTTGCTACTGGAATAGCCAAGAGAAAAGCCAAGACTTCTTTGCCAGCACCTTCGCCAGGCAAATGATAGCGAAGCTTCGCTGGAACCTTCACCTGGAAAACTTCCTGCTTTTTTGGTTTGGGAGTTTAATTTGAATTATTCACTTTGCCTCGCCAGCACTCGCTAGGCGAATGCTTTGATTTTCAACTTCTTCTGGCAGCTATGACTCATCCCTTCCAAGGTACCCCTATTAGTGTCAATCCTGCACACTAACAACAATATTACAAACACCATTCACTTGAATCACAACAAAATGAAACTAAACAAATTCAACTACTAATTCAAACAATACTAGATAAAAACCAAGTAAAAATACTACTAAAAAGAGGCCAAATATATACAATATTTGGGATCTAACACAAGTCTAGTGCCTTCAATTCGACAATTTTTGATTTCTTCGATTTGGTTGTTTGGTGTATCCAGTTGAAAAGAGGATTCAAACATGGAATTCAATAAAACTTGAAGTAAACAATTGGGGACAAGAAGTAAAAGGTTGGCCGAAGGGTCAAGGTTTTTTAGGGTGTAAGTTTCAAGCCCTAGTGAATCATAGAGAGATTCTAATATTAACTAGCCTAAACAAATGTTTCTACCGTCATGCAATTGGTTGGCTAAGGTAAGGAACCTTTTAGCCACCTTCAGAGATTTCTAGCAAAAAATAAAACGTGACAACCACATTGTCAAGAAGGCTATGTGTTCTTTGTCTAATAATTCTTTAGTTTGGGTGTCATGATGGTCAATAATTAACTTGGCGAAGCTAGTATGTTTTTGGTCAAATTTAATGGTATCTTCATCTCGTGCAGTTGGGTTGAACACTTCTTCAGTTAGGCGAAGGCCAGTGATGGCTGCCACGTTCATTAGAGTGGGTGTTATCATCCTACAAGGCAATTGAAAGGTGTTAATTTAACCTTCCCAAAAGTACAATGAGGCGATAAACATATTTTGGCTTTCTTAGATTATATTTTATTTAGCCAATCAATGTAATCCTCTTTATTCCTTGTAGAGGAAGCATAGTTAAAAACATAAAAGGTAATGATCATGTAGTTTAGGCCAATAGGTTGCATAGTGCAGACTATAGGCTTAGTACGATGGTAAGAAGGAAAGAGTTCCTTCAACCTTTCAGTTTTGGCGTTAGGGTCAAGGATTGGACCCAGAAATGCATGAATTTTTTCAGAAACTGAGAAAGGAATGAGTACCTGGGATTTCCAAATTCTTGCTTTCTTTTCTTCCAAGAGAGGCTCTGGAACATAGACTTGGTTCCCTGCAGTAATAGAAACCTTAATCTTAGTAGTAGGTGGTAATGATATCTTTGATTTTGATGAAGATACCATAGTTGTAGAAAAGTTAAGTTTGAGCATGGAAAAGATGACGTTGAGAAATGGTGTTTTAAAAAATCAAGATACCGAAAGAAGAAGAAATTAAATTTACAAAGGAAGTTGGTATTTATAGAAGTGGGAAAAGAATTTTCATTTCTTCCTTTTTTGACAAATGGCGCTTATTTTTGGAACATGTGTTCGTCAATTAGAGGCAGAATAAGTGGTGTAGATCTTGATGAGTCATGCTCTCCTAGGAAAGTGGAGTCATGATTGAGAAGACATTTCGCTAAAGGTGCCATGATGATAATGACATCATCCCATTACCTTACATAGTGGTGAGAAGTTTCAAAAACGCCCATATCTCTTAGTTAGCTGAAAGTGGCATTGTTGGGGTGAAATTTCGACATCATGGGCTTAACACGAGGAAACATGATTCAGAAAAGACTTAAGAAAATGATGATGGGTGATATCATTTTGACAGATAGGATCTTAGACCAAGTGCATCGAAGTAGTCATGTTGAACTTGAAGTTAAGGACTTAGAATTTTTGTTCTCAGAGTATGTTCTCAGGAATTCACCGGAGACAACATGATCGGCATTGGCAATTTGAAATGAAGTGTTGTGATCATATCATGTAACTATTTTAGTGTCTTATTCATGCAGCAAAGACACATGGAGGAAAGCGAAAAAGGTGGAAATCATGCAATTAGATATATGTCGATTGTTAGGAATAGAGTTGTTAAAGGTAGTTATATATAGGGATTCTAGTGTTAAGATTCAGGGTGGCAATATCACTACAGAGTTACTTCACAAAACTCAAAGTACCCAAACGATAGCGAGAAACGAGTCAGTAAGAAAAAGTATGATTTTGCATACCATCATTTACATACTTAAGCAAACTTTTTTATTTCTTGCTTTTCACATTCTTGTCCAAAAATTTACTTGTTTTTATCTTCAACTTTTCTAAGATTTTGACTCTGTCGAAATTCCTTTGCTTTCTTTACAAGTTTCGTCCTTATTTTCTTGAAAAGTTAGAATTCATGTTATGTTCACAACAAGCAGTCAAACATTATTTTAAGAATTTATGCATATATGTCCAACAATTTACTAGTCAATCCTTCAAGTAAGCTTTTCTAAAGAGACTAGTGGTTGTTTACCAAAATTAGGGGTAAACAGCACCTTGGCATTATACCTTAGTTTTTTTTATTGGTGAAGTGAAAGATTTGTCATGAATTGTATTATTCGTAGCAGTGAATTTTCCTTTTATCAGAACCGTGCCACAAAAAATTACTCTGAATTGAAGTAATCTCCTTCAGAACTTTGATAGGGCTTTAAAAAAAGGATATTGTGTAAATTAGGATGGAGTTAAGCATTGATTTGATCAGCACTACTCCCCCCCCCCCCCCCCATTGATAAAAACTTTCCTTTTCACAAAGACAATTGCTTCTTCATAGTTGAAATAACAAACTTCCACAACCAGAATCTTCTAGGAGTTGCTCCAACCTGCACTCCCAAGAACTTAAAAGGCAAAGAATCAATATAGCAAGACAAGAAAGCTGAAGCCACTTGAAGAAAATTGTTGTTTACAGTGATGTGATAAATATTGCTCTTGAAGAACATGACAATTTACCAAAGAAATAAATCACCATAACCATTTTACTTTCGTGAGTGCCTTCCTTAAGACCACATCAGCAGGTTCTCTTAACTTGTTTTTCACTTATGTGTCATACTATGTGTTGTTTGGATTTATTTTATGAGATTAATTGACATGCACTGTCAGTGTACAAAATTTTACACCATCGGTGTATCATAACCATTCATAGATGATACTTTATATGTGATTAATTCGTAGTATGCTCTTTTCTATCACAACATATTGGTTGCAAGCCTCCCCTTACACAATTGTGTGATAAGGTAAACTAAATATGTTTGCAGAAGTTTCTTGTAGAGTGGTACAAATGCGATAACTAAAAAATCACCTGCATATAGATAGTGTCACTCTTTGTATTGAATAATTAGGAGATTGTGATTTGAGGTTGGTGTAGTAACATTGTACATGGATCCACTGGGATCAGTTGTATTGTGTGTTCTTGTAAATTAAAAAGGAATTTTGATTCAAAAAAAATATGTATTGATGAAATTTTAATATCTATGTTGTAAAAATTTATGACAGTGTCATATTGAAAAGTTACGCATCAATCTAAATGCCATGTAATAGGAAATTGAATCTCCTATAATTACAATTTTTAACAATCACACTTTATCAATTGTTCGATCTTGATTGCACAGTTTATAAAACACAAATTTGATCTTCCTAAATTAACAACTTTAAATCAGAACCATCCAATCTTGATCGGACGGTCAACTACACTGTAATATGTGAAAGCGTGGTTTACCGACTACATGGAATCTGGATCATATGTATCTGGCATATATCCATTTATTCTAGAAGTAACTTTTAAAAGTACTATTACATTTACAATATTTTCTTAAATATGATTTGAATAAAGTTATTTATGATCTTTTCTTTTCTTTATTCTTTTGCTTTTTATTTTATACATTCGGAATCAGCATTGAATAATTATACATTGAAGCTGTATATAAATTTTAATTTATTTTGTTCAAAAAAATATTTTGATATCATAAGAAGGAAATTATTAACCTATTCAATGTGTTTGAGTATTATATATATATAATTACATTGACCAACTCTCGGGATGTGTATCTGGCCACTCTCGCATTCTTATATTACTATCCCTGTATATTAATCAAAACATTTTTTCACTATAAATAAGGGTGGGGAGTGTGAAATTTTTATCTTACAATCAACTAGCTCCATTGAGTTGTTTGAGATTCTACTAGAGTATTATTTTTCGTAGCAATGGTGAGTCAGTTTTGGGCTTATCATAGAGAAAATGCTCAAAACCATGGACGTACTCGTCGTGGTGATGAGCGTAACATTCAAAGTGAGCGCACCAATCAAATTCCAATTTTCAATCAATCACAAAATAGCCGCTTTATCATACCCCGTAACAATCAAAGTGAGCATGAAAATCAAATCCCCATTATCCATCAATCACATAATAATTGCTTTCCCACACCCCATAACAATCAAATATCCACTGTCCATCTATCACAAAATAGTCACTTTACCACACCCCATAACAACCAAAGTGACTGTGACAATCAAATCCCAATTATCCATCAACCACAAAATAGCCGCTTTACCACACTCCCTAACAACCAAAGTGAGTGTGACACTCAAATCCCCATTATTCATCAATCACAAAATATCCTCTTAACCACACGTCGTAATAATCAAAGTGAGCGAGACAATCAAATCCCCATTATCCATCAATCACAAAATAACCTTTTCACCACACCCCAAAGCATACTGCAAAGATCCCAATATCGTACTGCAAGTCTTAACAATTTTCCATATGTGACTGTTGTTGATCAGCAGCCATATATGAATGTTGTTAATACACAACCACATATAATAACTCCTTATCATGCAAACTCAATCCAACAACAGCCACATATGAGTGTTGTTAATCAACAACCATATGCAGGTCCACGCAAAATTAATCATTATCGTGCAAACTCCATTCAAAATTCTTCCCCCAATGGTGTTGCTTTCCAAGGTTTCACAAGAGATTTTTCAAATCCTCCTAGACCAAATTTTCATAATCCAAAGAATTATCGATTTCTTCCTTATGGCGAAGGTTCTAGTCGTATGAATAACTCTTTTGCGTGTCCTCGCCTATCTGTCAACTTGAATAGATTGAATGTTACGAAAGATGATGTTATACCAATCACAACTCCTTCGACGCGTCATATAATAAAAATGCCTCCTATAATTTATCCTAGCACCAATCCTCCACGTCTATCTATCACAAGTCCTCCCTCGTGTGGTATTACTCAAAAGAAAGATTCAGATCCAACTCATGATAAAGAGCCAAAAAGTTATGAGTTCGACATTAGAGATACTGAGGCTTGGAAAAGGAAAGGTAAGAGTTTTGTCTCCCCTGATGATTGTTATGAACCAGTGGCAAATCAAGAGAAAGCAGTACTTATTTTCAAGGATGAAAAGAATGTGATTCCTAGTTGTTCAATAATTAAAACTAATGAAACCAATGAAAAAGATGAGGAGAATTTGGATCTCTCACTCCACCTTTAAATGATGAATAAGTATCTAATATCTTTTCTATTTAATAAATTTTGTCTTTTATTTTTCGTTTAATAAATTGTCTTTTGTTTTCCTTTAATAAATTGTCTTTTTGATTTTCATTAGAGAGACTTTTCTTTGTTATATTTGATGTTTTATCCACTTAATAATATATTGAATTTCTTTATGTCATTGCATTTTAATTAGAAAATAAGATCTCTTTACCAAGTGTTTGTACATAATCAATATTGGTTGACACTAATGAGAAATATAACATAATTATATCTTTACTAATTTGGTGTAGAATACAAATTTTATATATTTAATTGTTAAAGTAAAAGTATTTAATATATATATATATATATATATATATATATATATATATATATATATATATATATATATATATATATATATATATATATATATATATATATATATATATATATATATATATATATATATATATATATATATATATATATATAATTTAACAATTGAATGAGTGAAATTCATTATTAGCCCCCATATATATATATATATATATATATATATATATATATATATATATATATATATATATATATATATATATATATATATGACGTATTATATAAGAATGTCATTTTTATGTGAGAACATGAGAATGAATTTTTATTATGTTTATATTATTAATATGGAGAATATAATATTATTATTAATATAGTTATTATATTATTATGATTTTTGGTGTGAATATGATAATATAATGAATAATAGTAATATTGGTGGGGGTATTATTATTATTATTATATATTATTATATTTATTAGTATTATTAATATTATTATTATTTTGGTGAGATAATAATATTATTACTATTATTATTATTATTATTATTATTTTGGTGAGATAATAATAATAATATTATATATATATATATATATATATATATATATATATATATATATATATATATATATATATATATATATATATATATATATATATATATATATATATATATATATATATATATATATATATATATATATATATATATATATATATATATATATATATATATATATATATATATATATATATATATATATATATATATATATATATATATATATATTCAAAATTTCCAATTTAAAAATAATTACCTTAATTTTTAAGTATATCATAAATTATTTATTTTCCTTTTTAAATGATATTAAATTTTCTTTTGACCATATAGTAAAAATTTGAATTTCTCTTTGTGCACTAATTATATCTTAGAGTTTTTATATTTTCATTATGAATTTTAATTAAAATAAATTAAACAATAACAACACACTAAATATAATCTATATTATTTTTCATTTACATGTAATATATATATATATATATATATATATATATATATATATATATATATATATATATATATATATATATATATATATATATATATATATATATATATATATATATATATATATATATATATATATATATATATATATATATATATATAGTATCCACTTACTCTAATTTTTATAACTTACTTCACAATCTTACCTTTTAAATTAGATTTAATCGAATGGTTATAAGTGAAAATGCTAATTTAGTCACTATATTATATTTTTCGTCAATTTATTAACGAAAAATATTATATATATATATATATATATATATATATATATATATATATATATATATATATATATATATATATATATATATATATATATATATATATATATATATATATATATATATATATATATATATATATATATATATATATATATATATAATATTTTTCTCCAATAAATTTTTATTTATTTTAGTTAATAGTTTTGCAATAAAAATTTGTAATTTACTCAAAATCAATGTTTTAAATGATAATTATAAAATAATCATAAATATTATTTTAATCAATAACAGTTTTCCTTCTCCATTATACCTGATTTTATATTAAATAATACTTTACATGTTAAATAAGTTTTGCAATGTAAATAAAAATCAAGTGGTAAACGAGCTTCTACTAAAGAATAAAAATTTGAAGAAAATTGTGTTCGATTTTTAGTAAAAGCAATAATTAGTCAGTTCACATATCTCTAATGTCGAATTTTAAATTACTAAGGTCCCTTTCCCTAAAAATCAGAGAGAGTGAAAAACCAAAAAAAAAATAATAATTACCCATGCATATATATTTAATGGTTGAAAAAAAATTTCAACGATGTTGATAAGAAGGGAAATATTAATAGTGACTCAAATTATATTTTGAATTTTTCTATTAAAGAATTTTAAAATTTATCAGAAGGTAGAAAATCTACTTAATATGTGTGAACTCTTTATATGTATTGTGCTTTACTTTTTCTTTTTCTTTTATGGGTTAGATTTATGTCTCCATTTTTCTTTTTTTTACTTAATAATTTTTTTGCTTATATTAAAAAGTAAATATAAATTTACTATACACAATCAAATATTTAATAAAATAAAATCAAATTGAGAAATTTAATAAGTTTTTTCACATTTTAAAAAGCTTTAAAAATATATTTGTTTACTATATTGTATTAAAAGACAGTTTTCATAGTATTTAATAAAACTCTTTAAAAAAAATAAAGTTATGGTCTTATGACTTTAATATATTTGTTGTGCAATTTAAATCAATTTTAAAACAAAATTCATATGGTTGAAAGATAAAACTACTCGCAGTTTCATTTTAAATTATTAAGAAAAAAAATTGATTTCATTCTATATAATTTTATGTGGTTTAATTTAGATAATTTTTTTAAAATCTAAATTATTAATTGGAAGATTTTAACTAATATTATAAAAACAAGGTGACATAATAGGTTTGATGACAAAATATATAATATATATTATATTAAAAATTAATTTTATGAAATGACAACTATCAATTATATTAGAAACAAATAAAATAGTAAAAAAGTAAAGATTAAATTATGTTTGAAACAATTACATTGTTAAAAGTATTCATGAACAAAATCAAATGTTTTAAATGATAAGACAAATATAATTGATTGAAGGTGTGAAAAATTTTATACCCAAAATGTACATAAATTAAATATTTTATGTAGAAAAGTTATTAATTAAACTTAAATTATTATTTGAAATTAAAGTATGATAAATTCGTAGTCCTCATTGTAGCAACTCAAAGGTTGGTTGTGATAATATTTTATATCAAAATTTTGAATTTTTGAACAACGATTACCATATTTTCTTCACCCCACAAATATTTATTCAAGCATGTATCAATAAAAATATAATAAAAATAATAATTTATATGTTAAAAAAATTATTTCTACACCCCCAATATACTGTTGAATTTTATAGAAAATACTTTTTATATATATATATATATATATATATATATATATATATATATATATATATATATATATATATATATATATATATATATATATATATATATATATATATATATATATATATATATATATATATATATATATATATATATATATATATATATATATATATCAAAATCCAGCATAAAAGACAAAAATAACCATTTTCTAGAGTAAGACTGTTATTTTATATTAGTATGCAGGCAATTTGAAACAAGAGATCTATCTAACAGCTCTCTGTAATTTATGTATAAAAATCAACGAATAATTATATCAGCTCTATTATATAAGCAAGAAGCGCGTCATTTTGTTAGAACACAAAAGATTCGATTAAGGTGAATTAATGGAGAATTAGGATAATTTGGAGAATATGAAGTTAAGAATTTAGAGAGAGAGAGAGGGAGAGAGAGATTGGGAGCACTAAAGACCTTTTATACAACATATCTAAAATAATGAGAAAAGAAAAACAACTTAAAAAATAAGCTGAAAACTGAAAATCCTATAGCGGTAACCAGTTACCATAATCTGGGTAACTAGTTACACCCAATTGAAAGCGTTACTGCCACTAAAAAGCCACCATGTAGCCGGTTACCATAAATAGGGTAATCGGTTACACCAACAGAAATGGCAGAAAATACAACTTTTCAACACACCACCTCATTTCAGTGGGTCCAAGTCTAGCATGCTCAAGCTCATCTTCAACCTCTTGAACATCTCATTTGTTACCCCCTTAGTCAACAAATTCGCTACTTGGTCTTCGCTTCAGCAATACCCCAATCATAACTTGCCTTCACTCACTAGCTCCAAAATTAAGTGCTTGCTCCTTTCGTGTGCCAGATTCTTCGCAAGTTTGGTCGCAGAAACATTATCAACAAAAGGTGTAGTAGCCTCACCCTCATTGCTACCTAACTCCTTCAATGGATTTATGAGTCATATAGCTTGACACACACATAACGATGTCGCAATATACTCGGCCTCACAAGACGAGAGTGCTACCACCGGTTCTTTCTTCGAACATCAAGAGATTGGTGTCCTACCAAACATAAAAATGTATTCAACCATTGACTTTCTATCATTTTTATCACCACACCAATTGGAATCGGTGAAACCAAGTAAATCGCATTTTCGGCCCGTATCCGATCTGGGAAAAAGAATTCCACAACCAAGAGTTCCTTTAACATATCTAAGGATCCTCTTGACCGCTGCCAAGTAAGACACCTTAGATCTCTCCATGAATCTACTAGTAATACCGACACTAAATGGCAAGTTCGGTTGCGTATTGCACAAGTACCACAATGATTCAATCAATCTCCTATATTGCGTTGGATCAACATCTTGCTCATTCTCACTCTTGGACAGATGCAACCTTGCTTCACCTGGTGTAATGAACGCATAACAATGCTCCATTTTGTACCTCTTCAAGATCTCAAGAGCATGTCTCCTTTGATGCATGAATAGTCCCGTTTTTGACCTTCAGAACTCTATGCCAAGGAAATACGTCATAATGCCAAGGTTCGTCATCTCGAACTCATCCATAAGTTCACTATTGAACTTAGATATACTCTTCTCACAGATGTCGATAATAAATAGATTATCCATACAAGAAAAGGATGATCACACCATCATTTGCATCTAATCTCACATAAAC